AACTTGTAGTTCTAGCAGCTGGTGCAAAAACAATAGGAGTTAAATGGGTTTTTAAGACTAAGTTGAATGAAGATGGGGAGGTTGATAAACACGAGGAAAGTCTAGTTGTAAAAGGGTATGCCCACAATGAAGGAATATACTATGACGAAGTTTTTGCCCCGATAGCTCGGTGGTATACCATTCGAACCGTTCTGGTTGTAGCTGCATAAAGAGGTTGGAAAGTTTACCAATTAGACGTAAAAAGTGCTTTCTTATATGGAGAATAAAGAAGTTGTGTACGTGGACCAACCACAAGGTTTTACCAAGAAAGGTGAAGAGAGCAAAGTTTATCGGCTCAAAAAGGCTTTATACGGGTTGAAATAGGCTCCTAGGACCTGGTTCAGTCGAATTGAAGGTTATATCACACGAGAAGGATTTACAAAGAACAACTATGATCACACATTATTCACCAAAAAGGTTGGAGAAAAGTTTTTCATGGTAAGTCTTTATGTTGATGATCTAATCTGTGCCGAAAATGATGTTGTGCTATGTGAAGGCTTTAAAAGTTCAATGAAGCGGGAGTTCGAGATGACCGATCTAGGCATGATGAAATCCTTCCTTGGTGTAGAGGTACATCAAAGCTCTAAGAGAAATCCATCTATGCTAAAAAAAATATGCTAAGGAGGTGCTGGAAAGATTTGGAATGTGGAACTGCAGCCTGTCATGAACCCCATTATTCCAAGAACTATTCTCACAAAGGAAGAGGGAGGAAAAGAAGTGGATGGAACTCTATACAAGCAACTGGTAGGGAGCTTAATGTATTTGACAACCATGATGTATGTAGTGTGTCTAATATCTCGTTTCATGGCTAAACCAAGAGAAGAACACATGCAGATAGCTAAAAGAGTACTAMGGTATTTGAAATATACACTAGACTTTGACCTTTTCTACAGAAAAGAATCTGACTTGAAGCTAAAGGCTTACATCGATAACGATTATGTGAGAGACATTGGAAACAGAAAAAGCACATCAGGATATGTATTCTTATTAAGTGATGCAACAATATGTTGGAGTTCAAGAAAACAAGCCATTTTCACACTTTCGTCAACAGAAGCTGAGTAGATGGCTACAACTTCATGTCATGTCACTACGTATGGCTGAAAGGACTTCTTGAACATCAAATTCCAAGCAGTGTGAATGTCTGGAGATATTTTGTGGTAATAGTTCCTCTATTAGTCTATCCAAAAATCTGGTGATGCATAAGAGGACGAAACACATCAACGTAAGATACCATTATTTGCGTGAGCTTACAAATCAAGAAGTCATGAAGTTGGTGTTTTGCAGGACTAAGAACCAGGTTCCAGACATCATGACAAAGCCGATGGAGTTGGAGACTTTTGTTAAGTTGTGAAATCTTCTTCGAGTACAGGCAAGAGAAGATTAAACTAGATGCTTTAGCATTTCCAGTTTAAGGAAGGAATTGATTGGAACTAGTCATCAAAGAATTAGTCTTTGCGTAATAATAGGTGTTAAAACCTAGTTAATTGTAGTATTTTTCACTTTTGAATTGTTCTTAGTATGGTAGAACCTGTATCATATTTTTTCCCTATTTTTTTGCTTTATGTTTCTTGTGTAGGCTATTTAAAGTCGTGCTTTCTTTTGAAATTTAGCGATCACTACGTTTTGGGAGCTCATAGCAAACTTACTTCTTTTATGTCTCTTAAGTTATTTGTTGGATCGATATGCTAAAACAACCAAAGTTTATTTGATAATCTGAGAATTCACACTGTGAAAATTGTGTAGAATTTACATATTTATAGACACCGAAAAGGTGCCATCGAACCATCACACCCTTTCGTGAATAGTCGCACCTCTTCGTGGATAACTACCAATAACTACCTAATAACTACCTATATATATACATATTATCTAACCGAGATTAATCTAACATTCACCCCCTTAATCTCGATTGTGTTGAATAAGATATTTAACTCCAAGTAGTTGCCTCATAGTGATGAACCTTAATCTTGGTAGTGGCTTTATCAGAATGTCAGCTCGTTGTAGTTCTCCAGTGATGTGTTCAACTGTCAAATCTTCTTTCTCCACACATTCTCGTTTGAAGTGATACTTAGTATCAATGTGTTTGCTTCGTCCCTGAAATATTGAATTCTTCATTAATGCTATTGCTGACTTGTTATCCACATAGATAGTAACCTTTTCTTCCTTAGTATCAGTAATTTTGCTGAGTAGTCTTTTTAACCAGAGAGCTTGTGTTGCTAATGTTGTTGCCGCAATAAACTCTGATTCACATGAGATAAAGCTACTGTTCTTTGTTTCTGAGTACTCTAACTGATAGGTGATTTTCCAAAGTAGAAAATTATACCAGTTGTGCCTTTACCTTCTTGTGTGTTAACACCGTAACTGTTGTGGTTGTATCCTTGTATATTGTTTCCTTCTTCATGCCCATAAGTTATACCATAGTCCTTAGTTCCTTTGATATAACACAACACTTGTTTGATTGCTTTCATATGTTGCTCTTGTGGGTCTTGCATAAAACGACTAAGTAATCCAACTGGAAAACTTAGATCTGGTCTTGTATGTAGTAAGTATCATAGACATCCAATTAGGCTTCGATATTCGGTGGCGTCTACGGATTTTGATTTGGTTACTTTTGTGAGTTTGAGACCTGGTTCCATAGGTATTTTTGCTTCATTGCAGTCTAACATCCCCGTGTCACTGAGTATCATGTTTGCGTAGCCAGTTTGTGTTATTGAGATTTCACCCCGTTCTGTGTAACCTTAATGCTAAGGTAATAAGCAAGTAATCCAAGATCACTCATTTCAAACTTCTCTTTCATCTGATCCTTGTAGGTTTCAATCTTTCTCTTTGATGATCCAGTAACTATTAAGTCATCAACGTATACTCCAATCAATAGTGTTGATGCCTTACTTGTCCTTGTATAGACTGCTTGCTCCAAAGCACATTTCTTGAATCCAAGTGTCTTCAAAGTGTTATCTAACTTGGTGTACCATGCTCGTGGAGCTTGTCTTAGCCCATAAAGTGCTTTCATGAGCCTATAGACTTTTCCTTTATCTCCTTCTATAAATCCTTCAGGTTGTGAGACATAAACTTCTTCCTTTAGTTCGCCTTGCAGAAATGCTGATTTTACATCTAGATGATGTACTTTCCATTTGTTGTATGCTGCCAGAGCCAATATCAATCATATTGTCTCGATTCGTGCTACTGGTGCAAAGACTTCATCAAAGTCTACGCCATGTTCTTGAATATATCCTTTGGCCACTAGTTGTGCCTTATGCTTTAATATTCTTCCTTCAGCACCCCTCTTTGTCTTGAATACCCATTTTAGACCAATTGCCTTATGATCCTTTGGTAGGGTAGTTAACATCCAAGTATTTTTCTTGTTGATAGAATCAATTTCTGCTTTCATAGCTTCAATCCATTTGTCGTCTTTAGCCGCTTCCTTGAAGTTTCTTGGCTCTTCTTCTACTAGTGATAACTCCTCCGTCCTGGCGTATATATCACTTAAGAGCCTGTAACCTCTTACAAGTGTATGATCAATTCTTCAATCAGTTATAGAAGGTGTATCAGTTTCTAAATCTGGTGAGCGGATGGTGGATTGTTGTGGGCTATACTCATGAGTGGACGTTTGAGAATTGGGTGTAGTAGGTACTTCTTCATCTGAATCATTGTTACCATGTGTAACATTATTCTCGAAATCTTCTCTTTCATTCGAGATATACTGAGTACCAGGTGTTTCATTATTCCCTATAATGAAATCAGTCCATCCCGGTCTGTCTAGGTCAAAATCTTTAGTAAAGTCCTCCCAATTCCATGTCTCGTCTTCTTTGAATTTTATGTCCCTACTAACGCAAATTTTATTCTTTATTGGATCGAATAAGCGATATGCTTTTGATCTTGGCTCACTGCCTAAGTATACCATTCGTATACTTCTATCGTCTAATTTAGTCAAGTGTTGTGAAGGTACCTTTGCATATGCGATGCAGCCAAAAATCCTTAGATGATGTAGACTTGGCTTCCTTCCTTTCAATGCTTYGTATGGAGTAATGTCATCAAKTGACTTTGTTGGCGTGCAATTTAATATTAGTATGGCATGTCTAACTGCTTCTGCCCAAAAGTTCTGTGGCAAGTTCGTTGCTTTCATCATGCATCTTGTTACTGAAARAATTGTCCTATTYTTTYGTTCAACTACTCCGTTTTGTTGAGGTGAGTATGGTGTAGTCAATTACCTTGAGATGCCATTATCTTTGCAGTATTGCAGGAATTCATTTGAAGTGAATTCCCCTCCTCTGTTTGTTCTGAACATCTTCAAATTGAGTCCAAGTTCGTTTTACACTTTAAATTCTTTAAAGATCCCAAAAGCCTGATTTTTTGAGTCTAAAAAGTATTCCCACATATATCTTGAGTAGTCATCAATTAGTAGGAATATGTACCTTTTGCCGGTTGGTGTCGGTGGTGATATTAGACCACACAAATCTCCAAACACTAAATTCAATGGTGCCTCTGACCTTAAATTCGTATGTTATGGAAACAGAGTTCTACTGTGCTTTCCTTTTAAGCATATGTCGCAAATGTCTGTCGTATACTTAGTGCGGGGTATTCCATAAACTAGTTTCTTTGAAACCATTTTCTTCATTGAAGCAAAGTTCAAATGGCCCAGTCTTGCATGCCATAACCATACTTTGTCATGTAGGTTGGTTAATAAACATATGGGTTTGCCAATTCTGAGACTTGCCTTGTATAGTCAGTTCTTTGATCGTATGACCCATAGTAGAATGTTGTTGCTTGAATCATATAGTAGTAACAGATCCTCTTCCATGACTACTTTGCAACCATTTTCTGTCAATTGACCAAGGCTTAGTATATTACTCTAAGAGTTGGAATGTAATATACATGTGACACAACCCATTGTTCTTTATTTTTGCATTCCAATAGTATGGAAGCTTTTCCTTTGATCTATACGTATGATCCATCTCCAAATCTTACGTTCCCGGTAATCTTCTCGTCAATCTCATTGAATGATCTTTGACTCCAGTCATATGGTTACTTGCTCCATTGTCTAAGTACCATAAGCTTTTGCCACTTGAAGTTATCTTGCTTACTTCGAGATTTCTTTCATTCAAGAGAACTTTCTTATGTTCTTCAATAGTCGCCATGAGTAGTGTTGGTTTTAAGTCTTCTTCAATAAGATTAGAGTGTTCCGGTTCTTGATCCTTTTCTGGACATTTTGTTGCATAATGTCCATGCTTCTTGCACTTGAAGCAATTTACTTTACTCTTATCAGGAGTAAACTTCTTTGTATTACTGATAGTTTCTTTCTTGAAACTATTTTGTGAGGGTTCACAGTTCTTCCTTTCTGAACTGAATTTGTTATATCCTCGGCCTTGTGATTGATTAAATCTGCCACGACCACGTCCTCTGAAAGGTTGGCCTCGGTGTTCATGTCGTGTGAACATCAATCCTTCTTGAGTGTCCACGCTTCTTTCCTTCTTAAATTTTAATCTTTCTTCAAAAGTCTTCAGTCTCCCGATTGCTTCGTCTAGAGACATAGTATGTAGATCTGAGTATTGTTCAATGGATGCGACAATATGGAGAAACCGATCGGGTACGACATTCAGTAACTTCCATACAAGGATGGAATCTTCATATGTCTGTCCCAAGCTTGCTGCTTTATTCATAATACCCGTTAATTTTGAAGTGAATAAATCAATCGATTCATTTTCTTTCATCTGTAACATCTCAAATTCCGTCTTGAGAGTATGTAATCTTGCCTTTTGGACACTCCTGACACCAACGTGTCTTGTTTTCAATGCATCCCAAACTGCCTTTGCAGTTTTGTATTTTGAGATGAGAAGCAGTTGATCTTCTGGTAGCAATTGATAGAGATACGCAATAGCGGTCTTATCTCTTTTCTCATCGGGTTTTGTTGACGATTGCGGTTCAATTGCTTCCCAAAGGCTATTTGTTTCCAGTATAATTTGCATTCAAATTGCCCAAGTTGTGTAATTTGTTGAATTCAACATTAGACACTGAAAATGAGTACCAGGACTCATTTTCCTTGCAAATCTTGGAATTTTCTCCCTGTTCCTTATTTTCTTTCCCCGTCATAATTTCGTATAAAAAATATTCCTTAAAGATTTTATTTAAAAACTTTGCAAATATTCCTTTATAAAATTGTATATAAAACTTTACAAAACTGAGTAAAATTTTCCCTTCTAAATGACAATAAAATTAATAAAGAATTTTTTTTTAAAAAAATTGTAAAGAAAATCTTTAAAACGTCACTTTCCTAAAATTGGGGAATTAGGTTTTCTTTTTATAAAAGGGAAAGATATGTTAAAGGAAGCATACGGCTGTGTTTTTCAATCTTGCGCCTGTTGATGGAGACGGGTTCAACTTTTGCACCAATTCTCCTTCTTTCTTCGATGGTTTTTGATTTTGTCGAAAATCGCAACCTTCTTCTTTGTTTCTTGCGATCAGCGGATTCGGATTTCAGATTCTGATTTGATTTGTTTCGATTATGCTTGAACAATTGATCTTCTATTGATTGTTCTTAAGGCTCGATGCTTCCTGCGTTCGTGCCTGACGATCGATTAAACAAACGATCTCCTATCGTTGTTCTAGATGGCGATGCTTTCTGCGCTTTTGTGCCCTAGATCGATTGAACAAAAATCGTTTTCCTACCGATTGTTCTTGTTGGCGACGCTTGCTGCATTTTCTGCTTCAATCGATTGTTCTTGTTGGCAACGCTTGCTGCGTTTTCTGCCTGCGATGATGGTCATTCTGACCGATTTAGTTTTCCGGTTGTCTTCTCCGGTTCCGATTAAGGTATGTAAATACCTTTTCCATTGGGTGCCAGTCGGTGGTAAAACTCCTTCTGGTGTTTGGCCGCCCTAGGTATCCTTGAGATTCTGATTAACCCCAAATGAGCAAGTGTGATGGTGGTTGATCGTTAATCTCTGGCGTTTTGGTGACTCTCTTGGTTCCTAATCGTATATGGTAGATGATGAACAAAACTTTGGTTGAAACGAACCCAAAGCTTTGATACCAAATGTTGGATCGATATGCTAAAACAACCAAAGTTTATTTGATAATCTGAGAATTCACACTGTGAAAAGTATGTAGAATTTACATATTTATAGACACCGAAAAGGTGCCATCAAACCATCACACCCTTTCGTGAATAGTCGCACCTCTTCGTGGATAACTACCAATAACTACCTAATAACTACCTATATATATACATATTATCTAATCGAGATTAATCTAACATTATCTCTATTCTGTCTGTGGCTATCCCCAGATTCGTATGAGATATATTGATGAATGGAAAACCACTTTTAAAACAAGGGACGGACTCTATGAATGGTTGGTAATGCCATTCGACCTCTCTTATACTTCTAGTTATTTATTTATTTATTTATTCAAATTCACACAAAAACTACACAACATATGACATAATTCTATGCGATTGTGCGAGCTCTTGAACGTTGAAGGCCTATCTAATTTCCAAAGAATTTATCCTCTACTCCTCCATGAGGCACTAAAACTCATCAATGGACAACACAAGCTCAAACCGAGGCATGCACGTTGGGTGGAAATTTTACAATCGTACACCTTGCACATCAAGCATAAAAAATGGAGTTTCTAACTGGGTAATGATGCCTTGATTCGGCCACATTCCTTGCTTACCACAATGCAATTTAAGGTTCTAGGATTTGAAGAGGTTAAAAGGATGTATAAAGACGATAACTTGTTTTGTCGAGTAATCGATGAATGTAGGAATGGCGTAAACAAAGAAACTATTTTGCATGATGGATTTTCTTTAACAACAAACGTTTATGCATTCCTAGAAGTTCGTTATGATGGGAGATTATTCAAAGGGGTTCGTGATGGGGGATTAAGCAAATGTTTTGGGCGTGATAAAGTTGTTGCTTTACTTAATGAGCGCTTCTTTTGGCCCAAAGTTAAAAGAGATGTAAGTCATTACATATTGAGATGTTGAACTTGTCATATAGCACGTCCTAAAATATCGATCTATATACCCCTCTTCCCGTTCTTATGGCAACAAAGGAGGATGTGAGCATGGATTTTGTCATGGGGCTACTGAGAACTCAAAGAAACAAGGATTCTATCATGGTAGTTGTCGACCGATTCTCTAAAAGGGCTTACTTTGTGCCATGCTCTAAAACTATTGATGCAACTAATGTTGCAGATTTGTATTTCAAGGAGATAGTGAAATTGCATAGCATTCCCAATACCATAACATATGATCATGACGTGAAGTTTATTGGTCAATTTTGGCGCACTCTTTGAAGAAAGATGGGAACACAGTTGTAGTTTGCTCAACCCATCATCCCCAAACAATGGACAAACCGAGACAGTGAATTGAAGTTTGGGCAATTTATTGAGGATCTTGATAGAAGAAAACAATCGGCAATGGGATCTTGTCCTCCACCAAGCTTAAATTGCTTATAACCGCTCTCCCAGTCAAAAAAATCAGTAAACGCCGTTTTGAGGTCCTATATAGATGTAATCCGAAGGGTCCGTTTGATCTTGTGCCTTTGCCAATAAATTAGAATTACAAAGAAGATACGAATAAGCTAAATAAAGCGATTAAAGAGATGCATGAGCAAGTTAGAAGACGTATAGAGACAAAACTAGAAGTACAAGAATCAAGCAAACAAGCACCGCCGAGCTCAAATTTTTAAAGAAGGAGATCTCGTTTGGGTGCATTTGAGCAAGGAACATTTTCCACCCTGATGTCTATTCTAAACTCAAACAACGGGGTGACAGACCTTTTAAAATTATGAGGTGTATGGGAGACAATGCATACAAGGTGAAAGACCCAGATTACATAAATGATACTAGGTTGAATACCTCATTTCTAAAAATGATAAACAAACCACCAAAAGTTACATTTTTAAACCATTAGAAAGCAAACGGGATATACTATTTACGAGTTTCTAATTCGAAATGTCCGCTTGGTTTACAGGACGTTTCCATAAGCACCTGATTTCTAAAATATCCTAAAATGGATAAAATAAACTTAATAGATTTGCAGAAGCTTAAACTATATACAAGACGAAGGACATTAGCTATCCGTTATCTAGATACTTGCAGTTACAACCAAAAGACAACTAATAATTTACAATCTATAGCTGTATTCGACTAACTATATAATATCAAAAGAGTCGTGCTACTGGAAGCACAAAAAGCAAAGATCTCAATCTACCCGAGCTTGTTCTTTGCCTTATCTACACGGCCTGTAAAAATGTGAACAACTAAAAGGGTAAGCACATAATGCTTAGTGAGTAAACGGGAACTACTAACTACTAAAGCTTCACAAATGTAATCCATGGAAGTCAATGATCACGAAGGATGTAAATCATKTAATAAGTAATCATCATTCGAGAATCATACATCTGAATATCAAAGTATGCAACTAGATCGTGTGAAAGTCAATAATTGATATGTACTGCCACCGAGCTATCVCGGTCGTGGYAAGCACAACAATATATATCATAGATTTCATACCACCCGAGCTATCCCGGCCAGTGGAATGATCTTCCCACCCAAGGTATCCCGAACAGTGGGGAAAATGACCGGACTCTAACACGGTCAATTACACACCATACCCGAGTAATCTCAGCTGATATGGGCTTAAGTGTGCCTCCCCGGGTGAAACACAAAGTAACAACCGAGTAGCACGTATGGAAGGACGGAGTGCAATAGGCAATAATCTCTTGAAATTGATAAGGAGACATAACATGGATGAGTATGGAAGCAAGTAACAAATAGATAACACATGTCTAGCAAATAGCAAGCTAAGTAGCCCCATAAACTCATAGTGTTTTTCGATATTCAAAAAAATTGAGCCAAATTAGGCTCTATGTCCATATATGTCTAAACGTCGTCCAACGGTCAATCTGGAAGGACCAAGTAAGCTTATTTAACACCTGTAATATGTACCCAAAGTTTCATAAAGATCCGACAACGAAAACTTAACCAAACTTAATTTAAACTCATTTTAGTTACTATAATTCACAGCTCAAAATCAACTTTTTATCAGTTTTTAGACTCAACTATAACCAACCTAGAAGCCTTATTTCTAAAACGTGTCTAAAGGACAGGTTTAGAGCTACATATAAGCTTTCTAAAATGTCCAAAATCGTAGCAATCCGAGCTACGGTTAACACGTTATCGCACATTCAAAACAGCATCTCGGATAGATTCGGTGCTGTCAAATTCACCAACTAAATAGGCTAAAATCCATATTTTGGATTCAATCTTTATTCCAGCAATCAAAATATCATCTAACCATGTTTATATTATTATTTACAAGATCAATACACAAGAATTTCACCAAAATAGCCATTAATGAAGAAAATCAAAGTTCAACCTATGTTCTTCATTTTCGAAAGCTMCAAATCATCAATCAAGCATCATAACAACTTAGTTAGGCTATAACCAATCTAAATACAACATAATACTAATATAACTCAGATTAGGTTTCATCGATTTCATCTCTAACTAGCTTCAAATCATGAAATTAACCAATGAAATAATTATACCTTCATTGGTGGATGAATTTGGCATAAAACTCAAGCAAAAATCCCTTGAAACAACCTTGATTCACCCCTATGAAGCCAAAATCGCCCCTGGTAGTAAATATGGGAGATGAAACTCTGTTTTGGGTGAAAAAGAAGGTAAACATCATGTATATTCGACTTTTACGAGTTGGGGCTGAGTTGACTCGGCTGCAAACTCGGTTTGACCACTAATCACTAAAAATCGCATAACTTTTCGCTCAGACCTCCGTTTTTGACGTGGTTTTTGCTCTACAACTTACAATAGAAATATTTCAAAAAATATCTTCCAATAAAAGTCAGTTTTTATGTATTCGTAACATAGATATTGATGCTTTTGATCCGTTTCTTTCCAATTGTTTTGCCCCGGGCCTCGTACGATGGTTCCGACTATTTCATATATAGTTTATTGCATTCGGGTTTGCTTCCAAATTTTACGTTTTGATCACATAAACACGTATAAAGGAGATAACTGCAACGTATTTGCGAAGTGTATGTTACATAAGGTGGAGCTACCAGGAAGTTATATGGTGTCGGCTACATTCAACGTGAAGGACCTTCAACCGTGTTACACAAAAATTGAATCAAGATCGTGGACGAGTTATTTTCAACCGATCAAGCTAGAATGACACCGCCCAATGCTAGGTTTGTTTGTTTTTATTTTTCTGGAAAATTCTAGTCTTAATTAATTGAACCAGCTCAGTTATGTAATGGCAAAATGAATATGATCAGTTTCTTTTTAATAAGAGTTGAGTTTATCTCCTCTTTGCTCTTTTGTGTGTTTGTTGTTTCAAGTAGATTGTGTCCTTGTAGAACTCTTTTGTCGGACCGTTTCTAGCTGTTGTCCATTTTTGCTACTTTATTTTCCCTTTTGTCCATTGTTTTATGAATGCTTCAGCCTTCTCCGAGATTTGACCCACGTACATCACTAAGAGATTAGTTTTGTAGTTTTCCCTAGGAACTTTTCATAAGTTGTGGGGGTTTTAGATGCTCATCTTCCCCAAGAGCTCACATCAATGAGAAGGAGCTCACATTGATGAGAAGGTTTGGCACCTCGATATCGGCTCTTTGCCATGTGGGGCTTTTTATTGGGCATTATTCGTTTATTCTTCTTCGTATCCTTCAATTCTATTTAAGTCGCCTCTTTTTGGGAAAGAAAATGATGGTAAAGTGGCAATGAAATGAAATGAGGGTAATTTAGTTGTTTCTTAACTATAATATTCGATATACAAAGTAAAATTGAACGATAGATTAAAATAACAGAGAGATTTTCAGTCTCGAAACCGAAGATTTGACTATAATACATATCCTCTGAAACTGAAATGAAAATCCCAGCATGTAAAACCTTATTTCAAACAATGAAACAAATAATTACAACTCGTAAAATGGTGACATCTTTAAAACTCGTACATTGGGACATTTCAAGTGGTGGCATGCAAACCCTTTCCTAAAACTAATCATCTCAATTCCCTCCAAGATTACATGAGATTTTTTCCACTTTTCTTTGGGTTCCATGCGTTAGGTGTGAGCAAGTTGGCCTTAAGCAAAAAAATAAAAATCAGCTCCTCCTGCCATGCACACAGTTGCTCTTTGATCAAGTTGTTGTTTCCTATTTAGGGTTTTTAATATATGAAACTAAATGTTTGAGGTATCAAAATCAACGTTGATAAGGCTAGAAGATGAACTGATCAAATTGTCCAATGATATAAGAACGTAAATTATAGATACTAGTGGCAGACACAATGGTTNGGACCCTAGTTAAAAGGTGAATTTTTTTTTTTAACTTGGGTTAAAATTTAGGATTTTACATTACTTACCTTGCACTTCCCCCCATTAGATTTTTCCAGGGGGCCCAACTAGTTGCCGGCGATTTCAAGTTTCACGGTGCCCACTCCGGCACTCTTCTTCTGCAGACYGCAGACCAGGTTTGTTTTTGATTTACTGCTTCATTTCACCATTTCTGCTTAGTGCTTACTGCTTCATTTTTTCGAGCAACAACAAAAGTGCAAAACAATCAAGATTTTTGCTTACTGCTTGTCTGCTTAAGCTTTTGGTTTTCGTTTACTGCTTCTGCTTACAGCTTACTGCTTTCCATTATTTTTGTCTGCTTCTGCTTTCCATTTTTTAGTTGAGCAAAAACAAAAGTGCAAAACAATCAAGATTTTTGCTTAATGCTTGTGTGCTTAAGCTTTTGGTTTGGGTTTACTGCTTCTGCTTTTGCGGCTCTGCTTACTGCTTACAACTTACTACAAATAATAGAGCATCAAAACTTCAAACGCGTAGTTACAGAAGAGTAGTTAAAGATAATCATAAATACTAGAATATCATTTACCATTGTGGCATTGCGGAATCCCATTTAATGTGAAGTAAATTCTAGATAATTGCCCAGCAGCCCAGTAATACATTCATATGACCCATATACTTCAAAAGATATTTGAAGGCCTTAGATGAAAACAAATGTTATCACTTACTTTTTGGTTTACTGCTTCTACTTCTGTTTTCTCCATTTCTACTTCTGTTTACTCCATTTCTGCAGGTCTGCTTCATTAGAGAAAATTTGAGCTTTTTAAGCTTTTGGTAAACTATAAACAGTAGGTAGACAATTGGGGCTTTTTAAGCTTTTAGTAAACTATTAAATATTAATATGAGTACATAGAGTGGACAAATATTAATATTTAATAGATGCTCATTTGCTATTTAATTTGTATTTGTAATTTCCATCCCCAT